TTTCTACCAAATTCTATCTTCCTTTCTTTCTTTCTTTCTTTATTCCTTCTTCCTCTTCCTTTTTTCTACCAAATTCTATCTTCCTTTCTTTCTTTCTTTCTTTCTTCCTTCTTCCTCTTCCTTTTTTCTACCAAATTCTATCTTCCTTTCTTTCTTTCTTTCTTTCTTTCTTTCTTTCTTTCTTCCAAATTCTTTCTTTCTTTCTTCTTCCAAATTCTTTCTTTCTTTCTTCTTCCTCTTCCTTTCTTCTCCCAAATTCTGTCTTTCTTTCTTTCTTTCTTTCTTTCTTTCTTTCTTTCTTTCCTCTTCCTTTCTTCTACCAAATTCTGTCTTCCTTTCTTTCTTTTTTCTTTCTTTCTTTCTTTCTTTCTTTCTTTCTTTCTTCCTTTCTTTCTTCCTTCTTCCTCTTCCTTTTTTCTACCAAATTCTGTCTTCCTTTCTTTCTTTCTTTCTTTCTTTCTTTCTTTCTTTCTTTCTTTCTTTCTCTTCCTTTCTTCTACCAAATTCTGTCTTCCTTTCTTTCTTTCTTTCTTTCTTTCTTTCTCTTCCTTTCTTCTACCAAATTCTGTCTTCCTTTCTTTCTTTCTTTCTTTCTTTCTTTCTTTCTCTTCTTTTCTTCTACCAAATTCTGTCTTTCTTTCTTTCTTTCTTTCTTTCTTTCTTTCTTTCTTTCTTTCTTTCTTCCTCTTCCTTTTTTCTACCAAATTCTGTCTTCCTTTCTTTCTTTCTTTCTTTCTTTCTTCTTCCAAATTCTTTCTGTCTTTCTTCTTCCTCTTCCTTTTTTCTACCAAATTCTGTCTTCCTTTCTTTCTTTCTTTCTTTCTTTCTTCTTCCTCTTTCTTTCTTCTACCAAATTCTGTCTTCCTTTCTTTCTTTCTTTCTTTCTTTCTTTCTTTCTTTCTTTCTTCTTCCTCTTCCTTTCTTCTTCCAAATTCTTTCTTTCTTTCTTTCTTTCTTTCTTTCTTCTTCCAAATCCTTCTTTCTTTTTTCTTCCTCTTCCTTTTTCTTCCAAATTCTGCCTTCCTTTCTTCCTTTCTTTCTTTCTTCTTCCTCTTCCTTTCTTCTTCTTGACTTATTTTATTTCTTCTTTTGCCTACGTTTTTTTTTATTCTCTTTCTTCTTAGTCTTCATATTCTTATTCTTCTGCTTTCTTTCTGCTTCTACTTCTTCTCATGCTACCTCTTTTGTTTCTTCCCATCCCTTTCTTACTTCTTCTTCTTCTTCTTCTTCTACTTCTTCTTCTTCTTCTTCTAACTTCTTCTTCTTCTTTATCGTCTTCTTTTATCTGCCTACTTTTTTTTATTTCTTCTCCTGTAACCATCTTCTCTTTCCTTCTTCTCTTTCTCCCTCTTTCTCCTCCTCCAAATTCTTTCTTTCTTTTTCTTTTTTTCTTTAATACCCAAATAATCGCCTCCTCTTGTTTTACTTATTATCATTAGTTATAATCTTGTTCATTTGTTTCGCCCTCATCATCTAATTATAATTATGATTACAGTAAATCATCTTACGAGGATATTTTCTAAAACCCTCGGCGGATGCCTGAAACCGCGGTTAGTAACAATACCCGTTTTTTCATGTGGTGAAGCCTTGAATGGCGAAACACGTAATCAAATATATTTTGAATAAAAACGTTGTCCATTTCTCAAATTTCTTTAAAACTTTATCATGATTCTATATCGTATTTTAAACAGATATTGTCAACACAGAAAACACATGAACAGACCTAAAAACGTATATATATATATATATATATATATATATATTTGAAATAGTCTATTCTCATGAGGTAGTTTGTGATTTCTCTATTATGTAATTTCTATGCTGTGTTATAATAAATACACCTTTTGTGGATCAGTTTTAATATTTTATATTATTAGGATCCACTTGTATTATATGCCAATGGATTTATTACTTGGACTATATATATATATATTTATGAATAAAAATGACAATAGGAAAACTGGTAATTGCTGACGCGTTTCGTCCAATGTGGACTTTATCAAAGCAAAATACGAAAATGAAATTAAATGAACAAGTAACTAATAAAAACAAAACCAGTATGTACCTAGCAACTGGAATATATATATATTATATCTGTGTTGATATAATGACAATATTCTCCACGCGTGACAATCTCTGACGTTATTTTTCTTTTAAAAAATATGAAAATAGCGTTTCTCTACATTCATTTTGATAAAGTCCACATTGGACGAAACGCGTCAGCAATTACCAGTTTTCCTATTGTCATTTTTATTCATAAATATTGTCTTCTCTACCGATTAAATCGGAGAAATTTTCATATATATATATATATATATATATATATATATATATATATATATATATATATATATATATATATATATATTTGAAATAGTCTATTCTCATGAGGTAGTTTGGGATTTCTCTATTATGTAATTTCTATGCTGTGTTATAATAAATACACCTTTTGTGGATCAGTTTTAATATTTTATATTATTAGGATCCACTTAGATGTGCGTGTGTGTGTGTGCGTGTGTGTGTGTGTGTGTGTGTTTAAATAACACACAGAATCCCGAAAATATTGTTTTAAGAACTGAAAACTTTGTCAGGATTCTGTATCTTATTCTTCAACATATATTGTCGACATGGAAAACACAGATATACCTATAAACATCTAAATCTTTTACTTTCAACCAATTCTGAAGGATTCGATGAGGATTTGCCTTAGATTCATTTTAGAAAATACAATATGTATTTCTTGCTTTCGAGCCATTCTGGTAATTTATCTTTAATTCGATACAAAAAAACTGGGAAAATATATTAACAACTTTCGACATGAACTAAGAATTATAAAGAAAAGATACACAATAAATATTAACGACTTTTTTAAAAGTTTACTCATTTTCATTCTTTTCTTTCATTACGAGAAACGCCAGCTTGGGGAAAAGTACTAATGATTCATTATTTAAGCACAAACACAAATACACACACAAATACACACACATTTCTTTCTTTCGTTTTTGGATCTGATACAGACTAGAAAGGCGAGACGCCTAATGAAGCATTTTTTTATTTGTCATATATATATATATATATATATATATATATATATATATATATATATATATATATATATATATATATATATGATATAAAATTCGGTGCAGTTCAATTTATATTAGAATGAATCATTCATACAAAAAAAGTAGATTAGTAAAGTTAATGATATAAAATTCGGAAATCCCTTCGCTAACAAAATTTTAAAGGTGCATTAGAAATATAGTCTTAAGATGTGCTATATTTATGGGATAAAGTGCTCAATATCAGAGATAGGGCGTGTGTAAATATAAAGTGAACATAGAATTCAGCGAGTGCCGGACGATTGCATCTAGCATAAAACAGGTTTGTCGCCTCTAAGTGTTGACTTCTATGTATGAATCCTCTTATGAATCTCTCTCCCCTCCAGCTATGGGTAAAATAGCAGGACAGACTGGGTTCTATAGCCTTGGATGGCAACTGGTCTAGGAGAAGGACAACTCTGAAATATATATATATATATATATATATATATATATATGATGGTCTCTCCGTCGTTTTCGACGTATGCGTGTCTTTTTAGTTCAGTTTTTAATCCTGTCACCGTCGCCTTAACTCTCTCGATAAATATATATATATATATATATATATATATATATATATATATATATATATATATATATATATATATTAGGGACACCAAAATTAAAGCTACCGTGCTTGAATTTTGCACTACAACCCAAATTATCCGAATTTTGTATTGAGCGTTTTTTTCTTAAACACTGCTGTTTATGGCCTCTTTTTCCAATATATTATTTTATATTTTATTCTAAATTGATATATGAGCATACCTTAGTTACTGTTTCTGGGAGAGAGTGTGTTATCTAGCGTTATTAACATAGCCAGCACACTCAAAACCTCGGTCACGATGACTTGCGACTTCGTGCTAGTACAGCTATCGACGGTCCCCCAATTTCACTCACAAGGCTTGGGTCAACCCGTGGTATGGTTTTCAAGCACTTTCCAAAGATGCCACATGCTGGCATAACATCAAGCATTCTACTTCCTGACAAATCAACCCTGGTGAGATTCGAACCCGAGTTTCATGGTCAAAAAGCGAAAGTTCATACGACTCGGCCACACACACATATATACATATATATTAAGAAATGGACAAAGTCCGACAATTTATTTATTAAAGGACGTCAAAGGACGAATATTTTCTATGAAAATTTCTCGGACATTCAGGCCGGTAAATGTTATTTAATACTGTTTATTATAAACAGAGCATTTACTTAAATACTTGTATCTATAAAAAGAACGTTAAACATAAAAAAATGTCTTTAATATATATATATATATATATATATATATGTATGTATGCGTGTGTATAAAAATTTATGCTTATATGAAAATCACATACAAAACAAGGTGTTTACGTAATCCGTGAAAAATGTGTAAGATGTACATTAAAAAAATGTATTTACTTTTTAAATTTTATGCATAGTAACAGAGACTTTAGTCAGAGGCCGAAATAAAAACACACCCACACACACACACACATATATATATATATATATATATATATATATATATATATATATATATCAGTTAAACGAGGGTATGCGGAAAAGTAATCGGCCATACTCGAGATAAAAAAACCTGACTAAACATTAGAACTAGTTTTAGAATGGTATCGTGGTCAGCACACTCTTGTGTATACTAATTAAAACTAGGTGTCTGTTTATTACTTAATAACAATACAAAGCTGATCCCTCGTTTTATAACCATTATAAACATATAACAACTCTGAGGGTGTTCTGAAAAGTTCTCGGTCCAACATACTTCCTGGCCGAGAACATTTCAGCGCCCTCTCTTAACTCAGTGCTTATCATAGGATTTCCAAAGGTTATCTTATTTTGACACAAGGGCTAAATATAAACCTGTTAGGATCGAATTCAACTATCGCTACTTCCATGACAAATATTCAGACGAGTGGCATTTTGAGTGCCACCAATTCCGTGCTTTGCAACCAAAAGCCACTTTGCTACAGCCACAGAGATGAATCGTCGTCATTCCCTCCGTGCTCCACTGGTAAAAGGATCCATTCAGAGAGCGTTTTTCTCAAGGGATTCCCCCATCGATGCTTCACTATACACGACACTCTTAACCCCTTCAAGTCTACGGGCAATCGTTATCTATTCACCATATCCTCATAATCTTCACTTCCGTCTTCCTCCCCGTACATTCATATCACAATCTCATAGATTGATTCGGGTTCTACGGTTTATCAACCTTTGCAGGTTATTTAAAGCCAGATTTTTTTTTTTTTAGATTGTAAGAATTACTATCTAACTTATAGAGGTGGATTCATGCCTTTCTCAGGGGTATTTGCACGTAAGAACGGGAATTAGAACTCGGCTCTCCGATTAACAATCTCAAGCCATTATCCATTGCAACATCCAAACATCCAAGCCTGCATCACCAAGTATTCCAAAGCGGTCACCGATTTAGGTACTGACCAGGGTAAATGTTACTTAACTTTGGTGATCGTACGGGAACCAATGTTTCAACGTGATGCGGCCGTAAGCCATTTATAACAAATATCAAATCAGGAAAACAACACTAATAATAATAATAATAATAATAATAATAATAATAATAATAATAATAATGATCTATTCTATCTTATTAAAACAATTTCAAGTCTACAGGCAATTGTTATCTTAGATAGATAGATAGATAGATAGATAGATAGATAGATAGATAGATAGATAGATAGATAGATAATGAAATGGCTGGGATAGATAGATAGATAGATAGATAGATAGATAGATAGATAGATAGATAGATAGATAGATAATGAACAGGCTGGGATATATAGATAGATAGATAGATATATAGATAGATAGATAGATAGATAGATAATGAACAGGCTGGGATAGATAGATAGATAGATAGATAGATAGATAGATAGATAGATAGATAGATAGATAATGAACAGGCTGGGATAGATAGATAGATAGATAGATAGATAGATAGATAGATAGATAGATAGATAGATAGATAGATAGATAGATAGATGTGAATATACTGGAATAGATAGATAAATTGATAGATAAACACAGTCCCAACTTCCATCTCATTACACTGATTCATTAAAAATGGCGGCTCTGGAGGTGCTGTGAAAATGGCCGCTCTGTCGTGATAAACTCTTCCCGCATGTTGCCGTGAGAATGATAAATCCTGGTAGGGTCTCCAATTCGTTTAGGACAGCGTCACTGTAGAGATTGAACAATTATGAGAAGACGCCTCCTTGTCTAACGCCCCTTTTCTACTTTTACTTACCTATTACTTTTGTGTAGAAAGACGACCAACCTTCGCTGCATTAAACATTGTTGAACATGGACTCTTCCATTGAGAATGAAATTCACCGTAAGCGGGGCACAAAGTAGTCTCAATGAGTGACACACTAGCAACCATATTTGGACACCGCCATGTGGTGTAATGGTTAGCAATCTTGTTTAATTAGATTAGTTATAACCAAAGTGAGTTCGATTCTCACTAGGTGACCCATACTTTCAGCCTTGTGCCACATCTAAGCTACTCTTAGAAAATAACCACTAACAATGATATTCGCTAGTATTGTAATATTAATCCACGTGATTAAAAAGTTCTTTCACTAATCTTGTGTTTTCCTTTTGGAATATTATTAAACCGAAGAACGAGTTAATACAAACATTGTAGCATTCAATTTATTTTCTATCCGTATTCAAGTGGTTTGTTCCAAGTGGGATATTTCGTGCACTGAAATCTTTTTTGCAACGCGCTGCCGAGTGTTGAAATCTACGCAGTATCGTTAACATTTTGGGTCAAGATTTACAAACTCTACGTTTCGTTCAATTTCGCAAACCAATCGATGAAATTTGAATAAGCTGATTTGTTTGGATAAATACTTTTACAAATACCTTAAATTCTTTAATTTAATTTAATAAGATTTTTTTTTAAGAAAATTTCTTTCTTTTTTTTTCTTTTTAAAAGCGAAGAATAAATTCTCAGGATTTCTTACTCTTGAGCATGCAACATAAAACTGCGATGCATAAATATATCTTTCTGAGGTCAGATTTCAACTTTATGGAGCGTTTGGGCTTGTGATTTGTTTATCGTTCTCGCAAATGCAGGGCGAGCAGGAAACTGGATTCTTGTATATAAAATCTTAAAGATATAAAAAAAAAATAATATTGTATTTTAATTAAATAAGTATTTGTTATTTTAATCATTTAATAGTGAGAGTATTTTGTATGTTAAATAATGAAACTTTTAATTTTTCAAAAAAATAAATTAAAATTTAATGTACTAAGCTACGTACACTAGTAAAACCAACTGTACTTTGTACCCCCTTACCTGTTTGCACTGCACCCCAATCTAGTTTCCATCAGTCAATTTTAGCGGGTGTGACGGACGAAGGAATTAACAGATGTGACATAATTTTATATATAGTTAGATGTTAATATTTATAAACTAATTAGTTCTTATATTACTGCATCTGTCCATTGACTGACTTAGGGATTGAACCCCGAACGAGAAGAAGAATTAACTTATACAGAAGTTAAGTTACTGTACAGCGCCATGAAAATACTCTAATCCAGTGCATTAAATAAGAGTTGAATCTGAGAATGTTACTGAATACTGAAGAAAGCTGGACAGTCCAATAGCTGAAACATTATAATTATAACAAGATGGAGACACTAGTTCCAAAAATCAATGTGTAGTAATGGTAATTTCTAATCTTAGAAATTCAGACAGAAATTTATTTTGTCTCTTTCGTTGCATCTCCTTCCACCATATCACAATCCTGTCCTGTCTTCGTAAATTCGTTATTACCAGATGCGGTCGTGTCTGCCTCGTGGAAAACTTAAAATGAGAATCTATTATCTAATTGAATTTTCATCAAAGATCGAAATTACTCTCTTCAATGCTTCAGGAAAAAGAGACACTGAGGTTCCGTTTCGGTTGCAGAGAATGGGCAAAAGACAAAAGAGGTTTGTTTGGAAATGAAGAAAAAGCGACAGAGACCAGAAACAGGGGTAAGGGATTAGGGAAAAGGTAGAAAAAGAGAAATAGAGAAATAAACAGTGGGATGGGGGTGAAATTGATGAAATGGAGAAGAAGAAGAAGAAGAAGAAGAAGAAGAAGAAGAAGAAGAAGAAGAAAGGAGATCCTGTAAAGAAAGAAAGAGGAGTTTAGAAATTGTAAGAAGAAAAGAAAGAAGAAGAACAACAAGAACAAGAAGAAGAAGAAGAAGAAGAAAAAGAAGAAGAAGAAGAAGAAGAAAGGAGATCCTGTAAAGAAAGAAAGAGGAGTTTAGAAATTGTAAGAAGAAAAGAAAGAAGAAGAAGAACAAGAACAAGAACAAGAAGAAGAAGAAGAAGAAAAAGAAGAAGAAGAAGAAGAAGAAGAAGAAGAAGAAAGGAGATCCTGTAAAGAAAGAAAGAGGAGTTTAGAAATTGTAAGAAGAAAAGAAAGAAGAAGAAGAAGAAGAAGAAGAAGAAGAAGAAGAAGAAGAAGAGAAATAAGATGAATAAGAAGAACAAGAAGAAGAGGAGGTATAAGAAGTGTGTGTAGAAAAGATAAAATAATAAGAAAATTATAAATTATTGGAAAGACAAAGAAGAAGAAGAAGAAGAAGAAGAAGAAGAAGAAAGGAGAGCGTGTAAAGTAAGAAAGAGGAGTTTAGAAATTGTTGTAAGAAGAAAAGAAAGAAGAAAAAAAAGAGAAATAAGATGAATAAGAAGAAAAAGAAGAGGAGGAGGCATAAGAAATGTGTGTAGAAAAGATAACATAATAAGAAAATTATATAAATTATTGGAAAGAAAAAAGACAAAGAAGAAAAAGAAGATTAGAGAACGAAAAAGAATACTGGTTGAAAAGAGAGGAAGAAATAGAATAGAAACATCTTATTTCCTTTTATGTCGCTTGTCCGTTTCTTCTACTGAACCAAATTATGGGACTTTTTCAGGCTATCTATTTTTCAAGAGATTCATGGCCTTGAGGATTAAAACGTTGCTTCAAACATATCGGGTTCCCTTGCATTTAGGATTTAAATCAGCGTGTCTTGTACTGCTGAATTGGTACATACTCTATTTCAGTGGGCCAAAAAAAACGGACAAGCGACATAAAAATGAGTTAATACGACATGTCGATCCTTATTTAATATCGTCATTTAATATCGAATTTTGTAGAAAGATCCCTGTGAGGATCGTACTCACTAATCTCTATCTATAAAAGGCAGGATGTGTGTGTGTGTGTGTGTGTGTGTGTGTGTGTGTGTGTGTGTGTGTGTGTGTGTGTGTGTGTGTGTGTGTGTGTAACGAATGCACGGCCGCAATTTTTGACGGATTTGCACCAAAATTTACATACACATGCTCCAAGTTAGCGGGAAATCCAAGACCGACTTTGCATTTCTCAACTCCCATCGATAGTAGAAATAATCGATTTGTTCATGCTTCTACGGCAGTTTTCATGTAGTTTGCGGCCATTTTCTACTGGCCAGAGTGAGAGCCTACAGCTGGCTACCACGAATAGGCAGGAAGATTCTATTGGCCAGCGTGAGAGCCAACAGATGACTGACACAAATGTTAACTAGCATGCTAGCATGCAAAAATAATCGATAGCTGCATTCGTCACAAGTGGGAAAAATTTAAATCTGCATGGCACTTTACTCCAATTGGCTCATTCGCTTTCTTAAACTCAACGTTGATTCTGATTCCGCAGAACTGGGTTGGGTGTGAAAAAGTATTTGTTGTTAACATTCTTTTTTCATTCAGTTTTTCCAGTTACGAGTCCTTTTTTAAAGCTGATCGTTTTGTGTTCATTTTGTTTAGTTCTTTTTTCGTAACAGATTTAATATTTAGTATAGAGCTTAGAAAAAATTCGCAGCGTGAGATAGGCAAGAAGTAAGGCATGTAGCAACACCAGCACGGCAAAGAGCACTCCTTTAAAAGCAAGGAAGGGCAAACATATTTTAAGTCAAGTGATAGCGATTGCTGTATGAGTCGTACGATTTGTGAATCAAGCACGGGCAACGCCGGGCCATGCTGCTTGTTGATATATGAAATTGCTATATGAAAGTGTATGAAGTAAATAAAAGAAAAAATATTTTATGTTTCGTTTCAATATAAGTGACAGTTTCGTTCGAGGAGAAACGAATTAAAATGGCTGTGCGGCTGGCGCAAGAGTTATCGGTGAAGAAAGTAGAAATCGGTGAACCGAGTTAAAATTCTAAATTTCGTCTGTTGGTGAAATGAAAATATTTTGAACACGGTTTTATGGCTTCATCTACAGAGAAAATAAATTGTTGGCCATTTTACTTTAAATATGTATTGCTGCTAATTTTACTATAAATAGGCATTGCTGGTGGGTTTTGTTTAGCGAGGTATCAACCTCTGTGGGTTATTTAATGCTAAAATCTAAATATTTTGTAGCGTAATATTATCCTTTCAAATACAGATAAAATATATTGTCGGTTATTTTACTATAAATATGGATTTTTGGTTGGTTTATTGTTTGGTGGCATATAAACATCTCT